TTCTACCTTAGGCTTCAGCGAGGTGCACTTTTCCAGCTCATCCAGCAGGTGATCAAACAAGGTTGTTTCCCTGGGTTGTTCTGCCACGGGAATTGCGGTCAGCACGTAAACGTACTTCTCCCGAAAGGCATCCAGGTCAGCAAGGGACGGGCCTGCAAGAGACAACTTTAACAAGTTGCGACCTCCTAAGGATCCGAGCCTACCTCGTTCTAACTGAAAGTGCTTGAAGATAGCACGCAACATGATTCTCCCTACGGGCATCCCACCTGACGAGATTCTCTCTTGTTCAACCATATTCTGAAACAAGAGCCCGAACTTACCTTTACGGCAGGTTTTAAGGAGCTTTGCGGCTATTTCACGATCTAACCGTGGGAAACGCTTGTCCGCGATGAGTTCTTGCTCGGTGGAGGACATGCATGCTTGGGCCCACTGGTAAACTTCATCTCCGGGGGTCTTCTGGAGTCGACCGATGGCCATCAAAACTTGGTTGATGAAACCTCTAGCCTGTCCAGCGTTCTCCGGAGGGGATGGCAACACGAGATCCTTGAGGTCCTTGACGCGAACAACGGATTCTTCATGCGTGGCGTGATCGGTGACGGTCATGCCTACACTAGGATCGGCAGCTTGAGACGGGTCTGCATTGGGGAACTGGCCAGGGCCTCCCCCCCCACCACCATTCATGGTGAGGTATGGGCAATCCGTGTCTTCATGGCTGCCGCCGCAAACTCGACATTGTGGGGTATCATCATCTCCATCAGAGTCTGATGATGTGTCGGAGCTTGCTGCCGATGGCGCTTGTGGGGATGACGAGTATAACCCTCCCAACATTGTGATTGGTACTGGTGGAACATGAGTGCCATTTCCAGCTTTCGGCGGAGGCGGCGCCCCGGAAAGGGGCATGGGAGGCACTGGAGGTGGTGCGGCCGGAGGCGGAGGTGGCGGAGCCACTTGATTAGCAACCAATTGGGAAAGCTGCTGAACCATTTCCGCTAAAGCCGTCACTTGCACTCTCACATCGGCTTGATCCCTTGGACCGTCTCTGCCCAACCCGCTAGTCCTCGACGCGCCGGGGGCTGCGTCTCCAACAGAGGACGCTGCTCCTAGCACTGCCGAATGGCCTACGAGATGTTGACTTGTTGCACCCCCACCAGGGTCCCTTGAATCAGCTGGGGCATCGTGACCAAGTCCTGTACTTTGAACAGAACCACACGGAGGGTCGGGGATAGTACTTGTAAAAGCATTCCCTTGCGACGATGCGGCAACACCGGAGGCATCTTGTGAACCTGAAACCTGAGGTGCTCCAACCGGCTGATGGGTTCCTGGGGGAACTGTGCCTTGACTTGAGGCTTTAGCCGCGCTTGTTTCCGTAGCTGTTTCGGCTATTGATGCGGCTTTTGGCGGGGACTCTTGCATCGGAACAGGGGTCGCACGAGCTTGTTGGGTGAGCTGCGCAACAACACGTTCGAGATCACCAAGTCGTTGATGCATCACAGAATTTTCCTGGGACAATCCACGAATGGTATGCTCTTGACTGGCAATGGTTTGCTCCCTTTGTAGGATTGCCTGTTGAGCCTCTTGAACAATGCGTTGAACCTCTTGCTGAGCGTCCTGTTGAGTGGCATTAACAACCTGTCGTGCGTTCTCGACATGGCCTAAGGCTTCCTGTCGTGTCTGCTCAATGAGTTGCCTAGCCTGAGCCTCACTTTGTTGTGCTGTTTGAACAGCCTGCTGTGCCTGCGAAGCTAGCTGAGCGGCCTGAACCCTAACGTCTGAAACTTCTCTAACAGCCCTTTCCCTGATCCATCCGGCCTCTTGTCTCGCCTGATCGGCGGCCTGCTGTTGGTGCAAGGCGTGATTGGCTGCCTGAGCAGCGAGGTCGGATGCTCGATGAGCTTGCTGCACCGCAGCTCCAGCTATAAATGCCGCAGCGGGTACGTTAGTCATCGGGTCAGGTAATTGCGATCCCTGTGAAGGAAACTGAATGGCTGGGGAAGCTTCGGATGATGTCGGTTCTGACACGATCGGACCACTCGGGGGTGATGATGGTCGTGTTTGGGCTGCTCGTTGAGGTGTGGATGTGCGAACTGTGGACATAACTGCAGGAACCATGGCTAGGTCAGGGTCATCCGGTTCAGAATCCCTATTTGGGGTTGACCTTGAACGGGGTTCTGATGGCGGTGATAAGCCCGTTGAAGCCATGACACAGCAATGCAACTTTTGCACTCACACGAAGCTAGCTCCACGCGCTTTGAGCAGCGTGTCAAAAGGTGCTACGAGGAGATATCCCTGGATTGGCAGCTGGTTGCGAAACGCTCAAGTGAGCCACTCAAGAAAATACGTTGCGAAACGCTCAAGTGAGCCACTCAAGAAAATACGCCCTGCTGCTTTGCACCTGATGAATTCTATATTTGTAATTGTACTTGTAGATTGATTGATCCGCACTGCCGCACTATGGTGCTTTATCGAGGGATGTTGCCAAGCTGTATTGAGAATTTGTCTGCAAATCGAATGCCTGAAACTGCAAATGCTGTACCGCGCAAAGCGACGGTTTTAACGGCTTGCAGCAATGGCTATCGAAGTACCCGGCTGGCGGGCAGCTGGGATGCAGATCGGTGGAGCTCCTCGAGGTACTGCGATGGATGCAGGCCCCTTGCCGCCGGAATAAATTGTCTGTTCCGGGATTCAATGAACTCACCGAGGTTCTCAAGTGCGTTAGCAAAACCTCCCGGCCCGAAGTGCGGAAAGTTCCGGAACGCCGCGATGCCTGTCTTTTGAGCTTCACGGACAATCGATGCTGTATCGTCAATAAGGGCGTGAACGCCCAGCCCTTGCAGGGCGTCTGCTTTGCCTCCCCTACCCAACCGTTCGTGGACGATTTTTATCGCAGAAAAAGTGAGTCCAGATGTTGTCCGCGCGTGCTCCAGGGCGACCTGAAACTCGCGGCGGCGATACTCGCTTGCAGCCCTGCCCACGAAGGATAGCACTATAAAATTTATAGGTGCGTAGTCCGCTGCAAACTGAACGAGATGTCGGATCACTTCCGGGTTGAGGTGGGGTCCCTGCTGCCCAACGTCAAGAACTCCGTGCCAGTCAAGAGCAACAACAAGCTCCTTGGGCGGCACCGGCCTTCCAGGCGGAGGTGGTGGCGGCGGGGGCGCAGGCGGTGCCCTCCTTGGTGGCGAGCGGAATCGCGAGCCAGCTTCGGGAGTTGCAGCGCTAGCAGCAGCTGCTTGAGCGACCTGCGGAGGTGGCGGCTTGACGATGTACCCGAATTGTGGCGGGTTTGAGCTCGATTTGCTTCTGGGTTCGGCCTTGTTCAAGCCTCGCGGAGGTGCCTTGTACCCGAATGCACTCTGAGTCCGAACCGGAGATCTGGCCCTTGGCGGTGACTTCCTCGGGATGTCTGCCTTTGCCGGCGCTGGAGAAACTGCCTTGGGGATCTCCTTGGGCAACGGAGGCTTGCTGCCGAAGATGACCTTGGGTGCGGCCTTTGGGGGCGGCGGTTGAACTGCCCCGATTCTTCGGCTGTGAAGCGCGATGGGCTCGGAGTGAGTCGGCGCCTCGTAAACGCGCCGAGGCACGTATGCTGCCCTGCCCGTCCTGATGGACTCCGCGTCTTGCGGTGGTTCCTCGTCCGAGCTGTAGGCGTCGAGGCGGAAGTGCTCCGCCGGCGCCGGGCGACGGTCAGGAGACCGTGAGCGTGAGCTCGTGGAGGACCTTCTTGGGGGGTCCCTCCACGTCTCGTCAGCGAGCAGGTAAGGATCGGCTTGGCGAAGCTGCCCAGACGTCCGTTGCGCTCGCCGATGAGGAGCCGCTTCACGTGGTTGTGATGCCTCCCGAACCAATACCCAGGTGCCGTGTTCGTCAAGCCTAGTCACAGGGTAGATGCTATTCTGTGGAGCCAAAACGATGGGCTCTGTGGCTAGGGAAGTCCTGGATGGCCTTCCCTCCCGCGCAAGCGCGGGTTCAACACTATGGGCCCGTTGTTCCACCGGGGCAGCAGCAGTTGGTCCTCGTCTCGGTGATGTGGATGGAGACCTCGACCTTCGTGGCGATGGGGACCTCGATCTTTGTGTTGACCGTTCCCTGCTGCTCTCCCGCCGCGTTTCCGCAGCTTTAGCGTATACCCCGCGAAGAGTTGACTTTGCGGCTTGTCTTTCCTCTGCAGATGGCCGAATGCGAGGCAAAGGAGTGCGCGAATCTTGCAACCAGGAGGAAGCTGATGGAGGCGTCGGAGGACGAAGCCAGTCCGCTGCACTGCTCGTTGCTCCCGCCGCGCCTGAGGCTGCGGCTTGATCCTGAGATGGCACACCTTGCGGCAAGACCACTCCTGTGGTTTCAACCAATGCGAGACGCTGCTGATAAGCGTTGTCCGCGGCCTGGATCACGTCGAAGGCTTCTTGGTCAAAATTCCACAGGTGCCAACTATCCAGTGACTCACGCCAGGAAAAGAGCGCCTCGACCTGTTGCTTCGAGGCGTCCGCAAACCTGATCCACCGGAATCGTCTGTTCTGCCGCTTGTACTCGTCGACGACGATCTGTTGCAGAGTGTTGTACAATCGGGCACGCGGCCCTTTCCCACCGCGTGTGCCGCGGTGAGGGCCGACTTCCATGTGCGACCAACAGGTCGCAGTCACGGAAGGGTTTGTTTACCCGAAAAGCGTTACGGCTGATAACCACTCAAAGGAGAGGGAAACACAGTTTTGTCAACAACGGGGGAACCCGGGACCTTAAAAGGAACGAACCCCTCCGTGACTGCGACCTCTCCCTTAACCTTGGGGCTAGCGCGGTGCAACGCGCTGTTTTCAGCACTTGAGCCAAAGCAGTGATTGGACTTGAATGTACAACATGCAACTGACTACATGAGAACCTACCTCATGTACCTCTGGGCCATAAATGTCATCGTGATAATTGACTTAAAACCATTCAAAAAAAAGTCCGAGCCCTATTTTGGGACACACCGTCCAGTCGAGTTCGGACACATCCTTTTGATCCAAGTCGCAGGATCGGGGGGTTTCGCACCAACGCCCGGCAGATCGCCACGCGTTGCTTCTGCCCCCCGCTCAGGCGACTTCCGCGAGGGCCCACCTGCGTCTCCCAGCCCTGCGCCTGACAAATGCGCGGAGCCATGCTTTGGGTCGGTCGTGTCTTGGGGGTCAAAAAGGCTTGGTGGGTGTCCTTCTTTTTGAGAGTACCCCATTTTTTGTGGTGGCTGTAAAGGAAGACCAAAAGCAGAACGTCCCATGGGTAGGGTCTTTCCTTTCGGTGTTTCTTTCAAAACGCCAAAATGGGTACCCTCAAAACGACACACCCACACTCAAAAAGACACACCCACACTAAGAAAGAGAAGAAGATACACCCAAATGCGAAACACAATTCAGTAGTTGTGCTGACGAGCGTGTTCTCTCGCTCACAGCCTTGCTGTTGTCGATGAAGTTCAAGTTGGCCATCTTCTTGCAATTCTCCAAGTGCTCGGGCGAGACTTGCTCGCCCTGCTCCAGGCCATACATCACCTAAGCCGCAAGCCGAGCCAAGCAGAAGAGGTCGAGACTGGCGGATTGAATGGATCTTCAGCTGAGCATTAAAACAAAAAACAAAAAATGCCTCACAAATATGGCGATGTGTCTTCAGACGCAGTCGGAACACAGAAGAACACCGAACAAGATTACGGTGTGAATGTGTTTGTGGGTCCTGTTTGGTGGACAGAATTTGGTCGGGGAATCACGCCGCCGCTTTGCTTCGCTGCAGCTGAGCCACGTTCTCCAGGACAGAGGCGTTGAAGAGAATGGGCTCCTGGCCCACAAAGCCAACCTGCTTGCGCCACCACCTGGCGATGCGTCCCTCTCTCACCAATTGGGTGGTGTGTCTTTCTTTTGGGTTGGTACACCTTTTAAATGAACACCAAAAGGAAAGCCGAAGCCATTTTGGGGGTCTACAAAAAAGGCCCCTCAATTGGGGGCGAAACCATCCACAAGTCGATTGGGGACTCCCTGCTTTGATGCGGACAGCAAGGAAATGGGCTCGGCTTTTTTCTTTCATCTGGACCCCCCAAAATGGGCTGAACGATGTTCCCTTTTGGCTTCCCTGAAAAAGCCAACCCCAAAAGGAGTGCAAAAAAACGGAACCACACCCAAATCGCGACCTAGCGTGACAACAATCTGCAAACCGGCCACGAATCAAGGAATCCACGAATGGCCTGCCTGATGTTGAGGTCGCGCAACGGCTGGCGGTTGCTACCTGCGAGTGCGAGGCAAATGTACAATGCAATAACTCCAATCTGACATACCATCCGTGACTGGGCTTGTACATATCCATGTTCGTGCGGAGAAAAACACAATGATTTGTTATTGGGGCTGAACGACGTCAAATCGGCTCGTTCAGCATTCATTTGATTTGGAGTAGCCTGGACATCTCCACCTTGATTGGCGGCGATCAATGAAAGTGGCTTCCACATTCGTTCGGCTCAGAAGGCATGCTTAAGAATGTGGACTGCACCCATCACATCGTGTATGGACGGTGCTGAATCCAACTGACATGGGCAACGGACAGAATTGCCACTCTTTCCCCCAAAAAACCAGCCCCTTTGGGTCCCCCTCCTCCCAGACTGCCGATAGTGTCAGTCACTTGGTCCCCAATGTCTGCCGACAATGTCAGTTGGCCAGTGGCTGACCGTCTCCCTTTGTTGAGGCTCGGTAGCCCTTCTTTCTGGGGGATGGTTTGCAAGGGAAACCCAAAGGAGAACCACCTATATATATACATATATTTTTTGGGGGGGTGCCCTCAAAAAGAGACGAACCCTCATCCCTAGGGTTCAACCCCCCTTAAAAGAACCCAAATTGGATTCTAACAATCCTTACGTAAACAATGTTGGTTATAGGAACCCAAGTTGTTTTCATGGTGGTTTGAACCCGGTTACTCCTACAGGAGTAATTTGGTGGCTCCGAGTCATGCCGCGCCGCCAATCAAGACTGCACCAGAAGACGGGTCATAGAATCTCTGAATCATCGCCTCAGTTCCGACATCCGAAGGTGCGTACTCTGGGCTGTCCAAACGTCGGATCCCCTACAAGTTCATTATGCTTAGAGGGTTGAATGGAAACCCAACCAATAAACTCAACAAACTTAGAAACTAAGGGGATGGCTGGGAACTGCCAAGTCATGACCAAGGTTTAGCAAGAGGACCAACAAGACTGCCAATGTTACCCTGCATAATAGACCCTGGCTGATTGTGCTCGGGGGTGGTCCCCCTTTGCTGGTGGATTCATCACTTTTGTGACACTCCCCTATTGACAGTATGGGTTCTACTTGGATGATTGTAATATGCTTGTATGTGTCAAAAAGCGGCACCACCAAAAAATGGGTAGCTTCAAAATCTTTCGCGTAAAGGAGCCATGCTCTGGGCATCCGAGTCGCCATGACAGTACTCTTGCCTCCACCAGAAGGTCCGACCAATCCGGCAGACATTCCGGCTTGCAAGACGAAGGAAACTTCCTTGAGCACCTGCGGACGCTCGGTTTGCAACTCATACCCCAAGTTTCGTGCGTTCCGAACGTGGTGAAACAAAACTCAAAGACAACTCAACAGGCTCACTTCGCCTAAAGGACACAAGGCAAAACAACTAGGTGTGAGACTATGTTGCCTTTGAGCGAAGGCTGCACTTTCCCCAGCCTGAACATCAGGTCGGAACGGATATGCAAACTTCACCGCTTGAAACCTCAGAGAGACTCAAAGCGAAAGCAAACGACAGACGAGCTGCATTCTCGCGGAGTGCAACAGATTCAATACAGGCGAAAGCCGACCAAGCCCAAAAATTCAATACAGGGGTCTGTCCTTTTTTGAGTTGGTACCTGGGCGTTTACTTGGGTTTTAAAGGGGTTCCAAACATTTTAGGGGACCCAATTTTTAAAAAGGCACACCCAATCTTGGGGGTGGTTCGAGTCTACCTGAAACCTTGGGGTAAACATGACGCAACTCAACAACTGGCGCCAGTCCGGGGGTCGAATGGGTTGCACACCTGAATATTCAATTTCTGGGCCCAAAATGGTGAACGTCGTTTGCCCCCTACTCCAAATACCCGCCTTTTGTAGGGTATCATGTCAACCCCTGACTATACAATATGTTTCTTTACGTTTCATGACACAACAAAAATGTTGATAATTGGAGTAGGGGGTACATGAAGATTGATATTCAGCAACTTTGAGCTTCCGACTCTTAACAGTCCAATCGCCTGGGTTTGAGTCTACCTTGGCGAGATCGATCTCCCAAAACCGGGAAACCATGGGCTTCATTCTACCCAAGCACGTGGTCAAAAAGATGGTGACCCCACAAGCTTGGGTGGAATGAAGCCCATTGGCTGATCCAAACAAGTGAGACCCCAAGTTGCGCAGCCACCGGACATCGGATGCCCATCTACAGCTCGCACCCAGATCCCTCGATCTCGAACGAACCAAAAAGGCGAGTGGCTCGATGCGTCCCACGGTGTGGCCCTCCTGCAGGGCCGAGCCAACCGGCTCCAGGCCGTTGATCAAACTCTGCGTGTCGATGATTTGGAAGAGGTCCTTACCGTCCGAGCGATGAGTCGGAGTCCTTTAGGTCCTTTTGGCTCCCTGAAAAATGTGACCTCAAAAAGGGACCCAGCAAAAACCCACACACACGGAGTCACAGAAGTCCCTAGTAGCTGGAGTAGATGCTCAAATCTGCCAACACTCACTTGTTACAGAGCTCCCAAATTGCTGGTTTTGTTTTCGGTGTCCCTTCAAAAACCAACCAAAAAGGGGAACCCAAAGAAAGACACACCCAAATGGTTGGACATAAACTTTCACCACGTCAGGGTTCCAAATCACGGGTGAAGCACCTGCAAAATCAAGGAAGCCCTTCTGTAAAATACAGAAATACCGGGGAGCCGATGGAGATAATCAAGAATCCGATTCAAATCAAAGTCCCTACACTAGAAGGCCCAGCGTGGGGGATTTTGTTCCGGTCCTCTTGGTTCTTCCCCAACCAGGAGTCCTCGTGCCACCCCCAAAAGCCGGACCTCGTGCCACCCCCAAAAACCGATCCGATCTGATCGGGTCCGACCGCGGCGCGTGGGCGGCGACCTTGGCCTTGGCCAAGTTCCCCGTGAGGGACGCGGCCATGCCGGCGCCCATGGCGCCGTAGAGGATGCCTCACTCGCCCGAATCACTTGGCACCCGCAACTGGCTATGGCGCCCAAGGCGAAGCTAACCAGTCTTTGGTTAAGGAAACCACGAGGAAAACCGAAGCCGGGTGTTGGGGCCCGATTTTGGCACATGGCTCATCTTTTCGAGACCAAAAGAATCACTTGGAAATATTCCCCGTTCTCGCGTGCCTTCTTGGGAAGGCCTGATGCTGGCCCGAAAGGATCGCATCCACCGACGATTCGTCCATGCGCTCGAAAACCCGACTTCAAGTGCCTATGTTCTGTGGTGTGAAACCCCTCAAGAGTGGTTGTCAACAATGCTCAAACATTTTGACCCTCTATTAGTCAACCCCTGTTAATTAATAGGGGGGGTCCTTCTCCCGTGGCTTCGTGGTTGGAATCAGACCACTTCGGGAGGGGCCAAAAACCGCCCAGGTTTGGCCCTAATGATATATAGATATATATATATATATATATAACCAGTTGGTTGAACTTGATATGGGGTCAACCAGCTGAAGGCGATGTTGCCCGCACTCTTGAGCAAGGCAAAGGCTTCAAAGCCGCTTACGTTCACAGAAACAGTGTCACATGCCCGTGGTGTTTTAGCGGGGGGTTCCCTTGAGTGGCTCATTCCCTAAAGCCCCCAATGTTGATGTCCAAAACGCTCCTTTTCGATTGAAAACCCCACCCCAACTCAGGCTCAGGCCCATAAAGGCCTGGTTCCCGGTCTCGAAGGTGGCCTGCCCGTCCTGGAGAGAACACAAAATCCCATCCATATCCATGGCTTATGCCAATATGGACAAAACAAATGCGAGTTTTCCTTTTGGCATCCCTTTAAGACACCCAAGCAGAGGTACCACCAAAAAAGAAGCACCCATGCATTGTATCGCCCGAGCCATGAAACGAAGAATCAACTTGCCAGCTTGCTGGCTGCATCTAAGGCAAGCAGCAGTGTCACATGCTTCAATGGGCAGTTTGGCAATGGCTGTTCAAATCAACGCGAATGGCATACCCTTTCACATTCATGGCAACCTCCACACGATCTGCAAAAGTGCCGCACTCGCCTTTATGAGCAAGCCCATGATGTAGAATCCACCAGACATGATCCAGAACACCTGGCGACTCGCAAATTGCTGGCGTGGCATGCAGCTAGTTTTAGGTGCCGTTTGGTTATGCTTCCCTCTCTCTCTCTCTCTCTCTCTCGTTTTGCGGGTACCATCCCAAAATGACCCATGAGTTCCCTTCTGGTTTCCCTTTAAAACCAGTCTAAAAGGTCCTCAACACAAAGACGAGGCTTTTAATTGCAGCCAAAAGGCCACGGCAGATGAGAGTCCGAAGCCAAAGCCCTTAGCCACCGAACTCCTGGCGAAGCAGTCATGGGCTGGGTTTGGGTTGGGTTGGTTGGATTGGTTGGTTGGGTTGGTTGGGTTGGTTGGGTTGGTTGGCTTGGTTGGGTTGGGTTGGTTGGGTTGATTGGTTGGTTGGGTTGGTTGGGTTGGTTGGTTGGGTGTGTTGGGTTGGTTGGTTGGGTTGGTTGGTTGGGTTGGTTGGGTTGGTTGGGTTGGTTGGGTTGGTTGCGTTGGGTGTGTTGGTTGGGTGTGTTGGGTTGGTTGGTTGGGTTGGTTGGGTGGGTTGGTTGGGTTGGTTGGTTGGGTTGGTTGGGTTGGTTGGGTTGGTTGGGTTGGTTGGGTTGGTTGGGTTGGTTGGGTTGGTTGGGTTGGTTGGGTTGGTTGGGTTGGTTGGGTTGGTTGGGTTGGGTTGGGTTGGTTGGGTTGGGTTTGGTTGGGTTGGGTTGTTGGATTGGGTGGGTTGGGTGGGTTGGGTGGGTTGGTTGGGTTGGTTGGGTTGGGTGGGTTGGGTGGGTTGGATGGGTTGGGTTGGTTGGGTTGGTTGGGTTGGTTGGGTTGGTTGGGTTGGTTGGGTTGGTTGGGTTGGTTGGGTTGGTTGGGTTGGTTGGGTTGGGTGGGTTGGGTGGGTTGGGTGGGTTGGGTGGGTTGGGTGGGTTTGGGGTTGGGTTGGTTGGGTTGGTTGGGTTGGTTGGGTTGGGTTGGTGGGTTGGTTGGTTGGGATGGCTGGGTTGGTTGGGTTGGTTGGGTTGGGTTGGTTGGGTTGGTTGGTTGGTTGGGTTGGTTGGTTGGGTTGGTTGGTTGGGTTGGTTGGTTGGGTTGGGTTGGGTTGGTTGGGTTGGGTTGGGTTGGGTTGGGTTGGTTGGGTTGGTTGGGTTGGGGGTTGGGTTGGGTGGGTTGGGTTGGGTTGGGTGGGTTGGGTGGGCTGGTTGGGTTTGGGTTGGGTTGGGTTGGGTTGGGTTGGGTTGGGTTGGGTTGGGTTGGGTTGGGTTGGGTTGGGTTGGGTTGGGTTGGGTTGGGTTGGGTTGGGTTGGGTTGGGTTGGGTTGGGTTGGTTGGGGTTGGTTGGGGTTGGTTGGGGTTGGTTGGGGTTGGTTGGGTGGGTTGGGTTGGGTTGGGTTGGGTTGGTTGGGGTTGGTTGGGGTTGGTTGGGGTTGGTTGGGGTTGGTTGGGGTTGGTTGGGTTGGTTGGGTTGGTTGGGTTGGTTGTGTTGGTTGCGTTGGGTTGGGTTGGGTTGGGTTGGGTTGGGTTGGGTTGGGTTGGGTTGGGTTGGGTTGGGTTGGGTTGAGTTGGGTTGGGTTGGGTTGGGTTGGGTTGGGTTGGTTGGGTTGGTTGGGTTGGTTGGGTTGGCTGGGTTGGCTGGGTTGGTTGGGTTGGTGGGCTGGCTGGATGAACGACATAAACAGCCGGTAATGCGAGCACTTGTGGGTATAAAATACAAAAAGGTGACAGCATCTTTGTGAGTCTGCTTCACTTTCGAGACGTGATCCGGAGAAGCTCTTGGACAGTGTAGTTTGGGAATCGAATCCCAAAATAGACTCCGATGCCCAAATCCCCAGTCCCGGATTCCGATCCCAAATCCCGAATCCCGAAAAGCGATCCGGATTGTCACTCTCAAACTCAGCGACAATCATTCCTGCGGCCGTGAGTCTCCGGTGCTCAAATTCCAAAGCAGCTACATTGTCAAGGCCACCCAAGTTGGGAGTTCGCGCTATAATGTGGGGCACACCGGTTGTGGGGTCAAGCGCTAGCATGCTGGCTGCTCAAGTGCGAACGACACACGTGCCTTTGGCGAGGCTTCGAGGTTCTGCTCCAAGTTGCAACTTTTCAGTCGTCGCTTACGTGCAGCTTACGTGCAGCTCAGAAGCTTGTAACATGCCTACGCGCTTCCGAACGCGGCATGTTTAGCGCTGGCCTGCAAGTCCTTTTCTGAACCTGGACGTGTTTTATGAGGGTCCCCTCCCCTTTTTTGCGGCTTCAAAGCGCAACAAAAGGATCGCCACGTTTCGCTTTGCGGGGGGTTCAAATCCAAAAAAAATGACACAGCCACAAGAAAGATGAAGCGGGTTCTTGGCGCTCACACTTGTTTGTTCAAGCATCGAAGCTCGCGTGCGATAGCTGCAAAATTATGGTATCCTGGTCATGTGTAGCAAAGGGAAAAGGGTGGTAGTGACCTTCAAACCATACTCAAGAAGAATCGTGTTGACTCAGTTGAGGATCTCGGGCTCTCTGGCAAATGTGAATGCTACGTGAGTCGCTGATGTGATTGGTTCTATCTCTGAACAAGAAACCTATCAAGATTCATTTCGGATCCGGTACCAGGTAAGCATGGTGCCCAGGGCCGTTGCCTGAACAACTTCTCGGAAAGCTTGCCGACGATGTCGGAGTACAGCTTCAGGACATCCTTTTCCTACAGCTTGTGCCGCGAGCGTCTATTGCACATGTTCCAGTGAGTGCAACCTCTGCCAAAACAGGTCCATGTGTCCTAACTGGCCTGTTCTTGGCAGGCCAACCGGGAAGAAAAGGGAGCGTCTATGGCACTGGCTTTCCCTGGTGCGATATCGCTGAAGAATGTGAAATGAGAATGAACCCAGTTGCTTCCCCGCAAAGAGGAAACCACCAGCAAGGGACGGTTTGTCTTGAGGTCAGTCCATTTCTCATTCCCTGAGCACCAACAAGTTCTATTACTTCGCTTTGCAGTACCAGACTCGGACCCCTTACACTCCAACGTCTTTGGGGACATTTGTCTCCCTTTGACCAGTGACCTCTTTGGTCGTTGCGCTGAGGAGCGTTGCCAGAAGCTTGCACGGTGCGCGAGTTGAGCAGCGCATCCTCAGTGCAACACACGGAACTTTTCCGCCTCAAGTGCAGATAGAATAGAGTCGGGCCCCAAAACCTTAGGGTTCAAGCCACCCTTGGGTTGTAACCACTATTGTTTACCTAACAAAGTGTCATCATCTAAATTGGGTCACCCAGTCTTTTTGCTGGGCTGAGCCCTAGGGAACATCTTCCGCCACGTCTCGGACAGCACCTGTGAGGCGCGCTTCATGGCGCCGTTCTCCTCCTTCTGCGCGCCCATCATCACGGCCATTTGCATGCCTAGCAACTTGAGATCGCGGGCAGGGAATCAGAACTGGCAAATGGACCCAAGACAAACCATCCCTTGCTGGACATTTCTTTCAAGAGGACCCCTGGGTTCGTTCCCTCATTCCCTACCGATTTCGCGCCAGCAACGCAATCTGAGGACAAGCAGGAGCAATCCAAATTTTGGTTGGTTTGCAAGCCGACGGAATGGCAACGTAGTCGGAAGACCACAAACAAACGAGAAATGGTAGCTGCGAAGAGGTGCGCAACAAGCCTATGAAGTAGCTTGACTGTTGTAGGAGTTGCAACATACAAGCACGATATAATTACCTGTCCGCGCTTGACAGATACACTACATTTGGCTGTGTCTTTTTTCAAGGGACCCCCATTTGGGGGGTCCCCTAAAACAGATGCACCCACTTAATTAAAGACTTCGTGCTCTCAAGACCCAGACAAGCGCCACTTACTGGGGACGGCAGTTCAAGGGTGTACATGTGCAGGTAGACACGACCCAACTGAAGCACTCAACTTGCTGCAACACAAACGGAGAAGATCTCGACCAGCTCGAGAGCACTTTTCTGCTTTGGAGCAGAACTTCTAGCTTGAGCGGCATAAAACACACCAACTGTCGGTCCAAGACACAAGCTGCTATACACAAAGTGGACAAACATGCTATTCAAATATCGAAAGAGCATCGGACGGACAACGTGTAGTGTCGCTTCGTGACGCTACGGAATCTATACCGAGCACGCGTACAAGACGCCAGCGACATGTCTGCGAGATAGCTGCAAAGGGGGTGCCCTTCATCTGCAGCCAAGGGATCAGACCAATTGCAAACTGCAAGGCCGCAGCATTTGAACGGCTTTTTGCGTGAGCATGAACAACGCTAACACGAACCACGATGAAAGCCGTTCCCCTCTGCAGTGTTGAAGGAAGCGCCATATGGGGTGATGGAGATACGCCCAATACCTCCCACGTACGTGCACGCACCATATGTGTCTAACCACTGAATGCTCTTGAGCCCACACGCTGACATGCTGTGTGTTTTGTACGGAACCCTCCCAGAATTTTCCTCAAAGAAGACGCACGCACGGAGGCGCTTCTCGTCTTCTGCGCCGGCCGGGCGTTGGCTTCGAGTCCCAAGCGTTCATGCCGCTGCGGCCTGGCTTAGAGTTGCCAGGTGAAATCGCCATCCATAGCGCCAGGCCTTCGGGAGCGATTGCACTGAGCATGGCGTGGTGCCAAATATAGTTGCATCTTTGTTGCAGCACCAGTTCTTCAATTTGCACCTATGCAGAGCGGAATCATCTGCCCAAAGTAAGCTTATACAAGTTGCTCTAGACAGCTTTCTTCCGCGGGCGACGCATCGTCGTCGGACCCGATTCACCGCCGACTTGCGGACATTTCTCCCTACCGCCTTTCCGGGGTCAAACGGCGCTTTTGGTCGGGTTCGGGGTGGGGGGGCGGGTCCGTGTCCTCGGATCCCGCTTCTTTCTGCCAAGGGCACCCTGGGCAATGGCGAAGATGGGGATGGCTCCCAGCATGGCCAGGGCCATTTGCCAGCAGGCCACAAAGGCCATGACCAGCCCAACCTCGGAGCAGACATTTGTCAACTTCCCTCAAACGGGGTGGCTTGGAGCCGAACCGGTGGTTTAATGGTTTTTCAGAGGGGTTCCCCATTTACCCTCCAAAAGAGCGGGGGTTCTGTCTTCAAGTGAGTGGTGGTATTTATTCCCTTTCAATTGCATTGACGTATCAAACCCTTCCGCGAAACCTTTCGCGAAGCTTCCGCGGTGTGAAGGGTACCTTCCGCGAGCATGCTTCTATATAAGTTTGTATAAGTGCTTCCCCGAGCCTTCCGCAGGCAAGTTGCTTCTGGAAAGTGAGGAAGGTAGTTTCCGCAACGGAACTCGTGTGCACGGTTTTCCAGTAAACGTGCTTGGCAACAACCACCCACCCGAAATCAAACTACTATGTGCCAATCAACAAGGTCCCTTCCACCAGCTTCCGCGGGGGGGGGGGGGGGGAACTTCCGCGGACCTTCCTCGGCTGCAGTGCGGCGCTACCTTTTTTGTTGATATGTCAACATCTATACATGCTTGTTGAGCGGAACATAAAACACCGCCACTCAAGTGAAGAAGGTGTTTTGGTTCTGCGGTCCAGATTGTGCGGTCCCAAGTACCCCGGGCATGATCCACGCACCTTTGACCGAGACCTTTGGCACCCACTTGGAGATGAAAACCGAGGCCTTCTCCGATTTCAGATCCATGCGGAGAAACGGAAAACGAAAGCAAAGAACGCCAAAGAGTCCGAAACCAAAGACCCAACCGACCGAGTTGGCCACCTGACCGAGGCCACCTTCCTTTTCTTCCACCCCACACCCGACTGCCACCCCCTACCACCCCTAGCCCGAGCCCTCACCCCCCCCCCCCCCTCTTCATTCGACTCCGACTCATTCGGCTCGAGGGGCCAAAACGGAGCAGAGGGCATCCCCTTGGTCCCCGAAGCTCACCAACAGCCGGGAGATCCGATAGGCGTGGATCTTCAGCGCCGCCACCAACTTCCCCGCAGTGTTCTCCTCGGACCACGCGGAAGACGAGCGTTGGGGGCGGGGGGAACGGGGAACGGGTTTCTGCACATGAAGACGGGCACAGCTGCTTGGGAAAAAGAAAGGATGTGGTTCAACCACATTGGGTCTACCCAAAAAAAAGTGCGCTGCATTCTGGATGATCAGCTTCTGCCTGGTACTTGAGGAACCCCCCTGACATTCAAGGGAACCAATAAAAAGCCTACTAGTCGACCCTAAAATATATTTGATCTGTTGGAGGCAACTTCCCGATGATGTTTGTTTGGCTCCCATCATATCTTCATAGCTACGAATTCTTAATAGGGAACCACCCCAAAAGTGGGTATGAAGCCACGCCGAATTCTGCCCATGTCGGGTCCATTTCGAGTCCATCTCGAGTCCATGCCAAATCTCACATCCTTGGACCCTAAAATCTTGATCATTTTGGGAGCCTCCGGATTGCAAGCCGAAGCTTTCCAAAGTCCAGCGGCCGGATTGTCGTGGAAGCCGATGTCTTGGCGGAAGACGTTGGTCAGCATGGCCACCCTGGCTTCCCGTGTGGTGACCTCGGGAAAACGGGACGCACGGCGGCGAGCGCCTTCAGATCCTTTTGGACGTCGAAAGCTGCACGTTGCTGGGGCTCAAAGCTTGCAACAAGCTTTCTGGGTCTGTCATTTTTAGGGACCCCCCAAGCAAAACCAAAAATGATTGCTGGGTGTGTTTTCTTGCAGGGACCCTCTCCCCCCACATAAAAAAGTGGTGCTCCGTTTGGCTTTCTGTTACAACCCACCAGAAAAGCTGGTTTACCCCAAAACCAAAACACAACAACAGCTGGTTTACCCCACCAGAAAAGCTGGTTTATCTAAAAGCCTGTTTACCCCCCAAAACCAAGACACACCCTATCTCATCGCAACCCCGCCCTTCGTGATGCGCGACGGCCGTGTCTCCGTGTCTCCGTGCCTCGGCAATGATGCCGAAGCTCGCGAACTGGATGGTGGAGGCCAGGCATTTGATGGCACCAAAGACCCTGGCAGATGGCTCGTCTTTTTGGAGTTGGACCGCCGACCCCCAGATGGGGTGCTCCTTTTGGGTGCTCCTCAAAACCACCAAAACAGGGGTGCCCTCAAAAAAGACACACCCATGTCTTCTCTTGGGACCCCCAAAGATAGTGATCTTCCTTTCGCTGTCCCTTTAAATCGCAGCCAGGGGGTACCAAAGCAAGACACGCCCATTTGAGGATGGCCACAAAAAAAAGAACTAAGTTGGTGCAAAACTAACATGATGCGCAAAATGAGCCCAGGTGGTATCCCCAACAGGCCCAACCTTCGGAAGGATCCCTGACAGCTGCCGCAAATCACACCGATCGAGCCGATCTGGGCAATCAGCTGTTGAGGAAACCATGCACCAAGCAGACAGAGTGATCGGGAAGGTTCACTCAGCACAGTTCGCTCCCAAACCACTTGTCTGCTTCTCGGCCAAGGGCGCTTCTCAACGGCAGGCCATTCTCCGCAGGTAGCGCCCCAATGCGACCGAGTTGAGTGAAAGGGAAGAATAAACGTGTCTGGGAAGGCACAAACCATATTGCTGCCATCTCTGACTTCTCCTTCATGACTTCCTGGCAGACTAGTGGTATGAAGCGCTTGAGAGAGGGAGAGGGCCAAATGAAAGCTAGTCCAATATGGGAGGACACAAGACTCATCGAGGGATAGACCCGTTGCATTGACGGATGCTGCTGGAAACACGTGGCCTGAATACTCGCCTAGCTACACTAACTTGCTATCACAGCACAGTGTTGGTACCACCACCACCCCAAAGCAATAGCAAAACATGCCTTCTCGAGTGCAGCATTTTGTAGCTTTCGTGCAAAACTGGCAAGCAACAAAACAAACATGAATGGCAGTTGCCATAATGGTTTGGACATGGAAACACAAACAAGGGTCATTGCCGGATCTCAGCGCGATCCTGGACAGGAAACCCCGTTCAACTTCACCCGGCAAGGCCCATGTTCTGCTCACTCTCAAAGAACTCATCTGACGCTCCAAGAAAGCCGCTCTTCAAGCGTGGCTCAAAGTGGCCCAAAAAACCTGCGCGGCCAGCCACTGCAGACGTGCACGGCATCAAGACAGAAACGATCAGTTTTGGATGGAACTACCCTTCCATCCACGAGGATTGCTTTCCTTCAACAGGTAGCATTTTATTGGTGGGCTCCATGGGAACCCTTCCAGTTCTAGCTGACAACGTCTCGCGGTGTGTGTCTGGCCATGCTGCGGGGGTTGATCAATTGTCCGTTCGGCCATGGGTAACTCGCCCATTTAGTGGTGAAAGCATCTGTTTGGTGGGATTCCTGATTAATGGTCATCCCATAGAACGGACCTTTTGATTCACCCTCAAGTATCAAGGTTGGATAGTTGACACGTTAGTTGGCAGGCACAGCAAACTAGTGGATTGATCCCACAAGCAAGCGAGCAGTCCTTGTCCGGATTCATCAGCGCAACAATGGCATCCGTCAGAATGTAAGCGCCAAGAATCGGAAAGCAGGCTCCGCTCACCTTGGTCGACCCAAACAAAAGCTCCCGGATACATGGCTGCCGTCTCGCGCGGTTTTGTGACGGACATGTTCTTCATTATTTCCGTTGCTTCACACATGTTCACCACGGAGACATTTGTGTTGCACCGTGCAACTCATTGAAGAGTTGCTGGTGCGGACATGTCCCACTTGACCAAACGTGTCGGCGGCCTCCTTCACGGGCGAGCACGCTGTCTGGAGTTGGTTTTTCGCACATGTGCCTCTGCTGAGGCGAAAACTGGCTGGATGGAGCATCCTAAACAAGCATCGCGCGGACAATCTCAATAAGTCTTCCCTCGGTCATCGACTCATCCCAAAACACACACACACACACACACAGACACACAGACACACCGGAGCGCGCATGTCCGGGTGCTTGTGCGCGCACCTGCGCACGTAAGCACCCACACCCCTGGGCCATGGGAGCGAGCGCGCAAGACTTAAGCTGCTGACCAGCGCGGCCAGGAAGCCAGGCGCAAAAAAGCACCAGACGCTGCGGGAGAAGCCTTGGCGCAGCTAGGCTTTCAGCTCTGGCTTTCAGCATTTGGGTGTGGGTCAAAAATTAAGGTTGCCCCCCAAAAATGGGTTGCCCTAGTAAACAGAAACAAGGGCTAAAACCAGCGGTTTGATGGTGGTTTAGAGCCATACCCATTTCTCACATCTCGCATTCTTTCTCCAGGAAGACCTATCCAACCCCCCCTCTCCAGTGTTGTCCAACGCTTTCTACGGGAACACCCTTCAAAAGTGTGTGATCCAGTCTGCACTTTTCCCGAAAAAGAAGGGAAACAAACACAAGAAACACAAAAATCAAACCCGGGAAAACCAAACCAAACCCGGGAGAAGCAAAAGCACAACCTTTCCCACAAAAACATCGAACCACAAACCCCGCGCCGAGCACTGCAGCACCGCAGCACCGCAGTGGCCCTCAGCCTGAGGTTCCAGCTCAGCAAGCGCGCGGTTGGCACCTGGCGAGGATCGTTCCCCAAAAAAGGAATCATGGGAATGGGTAAGGATCCTTAGGTGGATGACCCCAAAGAGCAAAGGGGTCGTTTTGAACATGGAATATATATATATATATATATATTCTATGTATATACACATATACTATATATATATATAAGATGTATACATATATGAGTACCGGATCACAATAATTGGCTGGGCTGTTTGCAGTTCTGTATTCGGCATATCGAGGTGCTTCGTATTGTAGGTTTCCCTGCAAGCCCTGATACGTTGAGTTACTTGATATGCTTTTGTTTCTGGTGGGTCGAGGGGAGGTATTTGGAGATGACGCAAAACCTTTGCATGTCTTGACTCCTGCTCCAGTCGTAGGCTTGGTTGGGCACCGAAAAACCGAAAACCTTTGTGCTTGGCCGATTCGGACCAGTTTCAAGCAGAAAACGGTGGCTTCGATGGGGTGTCTGACATCAAACCAATGTCTTGGGCTTCGAAAAAACGAGAAACACGTCTTGCCCGAGGCCCCCCCCCCCATTCCGAAGGTTTGGCCCTCCGGAGGCCTTGTAGGTCTTCATGATCTCCTTCTCGCGAGCGTCTTCTTTATCCTCCTCCAGCTCCGCTTGAATTTCAGTTGGAACTCGCTCTGCTGTTGGGGGGGGGCAGCCAACCATGGGATCTGTGCGGTAAAGGCTTTGGGTCCTCTCATTCTCGTGATCAAAGCCTCTGCGTTCTCTTTGGGCATGCGCTTCAAGTTGGCAAACTTCCCCCCCCCTCCCCCACAAGTCGCATCTGGCCACTCCTCGGCCACAGCCTGTGCGGTTGAAGGTCCCGTCCTTAGTTTCGACTGATGTCCCCCTCTTGCTGGTGACAGGCAGCGACCAAAGCAGAACACGCATGCCCCAGCCACATAAGCCTTGGACAACATGACTTTTTGCCGGGGCATGGGAAACGGAAAAGTGGCACCCCTTGGATTCCACAATCAGGGGGGTTGTTTTTTGCCCCCGAAACCATCAGTAGCCCAACAACATATGCTCAGCTATCACACGGACATCTTGCACCGCAAAAGAACTTCCTGAAGCTCGCACACTGTGCAAATGGGGGTTGATCAATATTCCTGGTCCCCGGAAAACCATGATCAACATCGAGACTGCAAAAAGTCGGGCTGAGCCGCTGCAGCTCTGGAGCCTTCTCCTGCATCGGGCTTGCAAGTTGGCTCGTGCAAGTCTGGCTCTGTGACAAGGCTCGATTTTACCGGAACCCTTCTCAATCAATGCTTTCGGGACAAAGGACAGGCACCCATATTTTGTTTGGTCTCCCTTTAAAAGCCCCACCAAACATGGGGCACCTTTTTCATGCTATCAACTGTGCGTGCCTCCGTCTCCGCTTGGCCGGAATCCTGCCGCAGGGATACGCATGTTTTCGTGTCTGCGTGTTGTTTGAAGCGCTGTAGACTTTTCACCAAAAGGGTGTTTGGGTAAACTAAAAAAACACATCTGCCAATTTTAGTCTCGCACCCCATTTAGACAGACATGCTCACATACTCATATGGTGTGTGTCCCAAAACGACCACGAGTTTCCTCGTGGGTTTCTTGGTACCAGAAAGGAAGCCCCAAAAAAGAGATCCCAAAGAAAGACACACCCATATCTCTGACTGTTAAGAGTCGGAATCATCTCACAATGTCCACCAGTTTGGGTCTCAAATAGCTCATATCCAACTGGCCAGGGGAGTTCTTCCATTCCCATTGGTGGTTGGTTCCTTTTGGTGTCCCTTCAACAAGGGTCCGTGTCTTTCTCAGAATGGATTTGGTTTGCCAACTTGGCTGTCGCAGTTTGCCTTCACTTCAAAACCAAACGGGGACGACCGGCCCAAAAAGAAAGACGGGACCTGGCTGAGTCCTGGAGGACAGGGTTTTCCTTTAAAAGGGACGGGCGACCGATTTTCCGGTGGCTTCCATGAAGCTCCAAAAACGACGACGCCGCCGCGGGTATTTTTGTCTAAAACGCGAGGTCCTGGCGCTTGAGGACTGCGCCCTGCGCCGCGGCCAAGGCTTGGTACACGCCGCCCTGGCGAGGCGATGCGACCGATGCCGCCGAAGAAGGGGGGGGGGGGAGGGCGGAGGAAGAGGGGGGGGGGAGGGGCTGAAGGGTGGGGTTTGGGGATAGGGGGGGGGGGGGGGCTGAAGGGTGGTGCTTGGAAGGTAAACCAAAAGGAAACCAGAAGGAAACCTTTGGGGTTGAAAGGGAAAGGGAGACCAAATTCAAACCTTTGGCGCTTTGAAATGCAGTTCTTTTGGGGCGTTGAGAGAAAATCCAAAAGGCCACCATTGGTGGACTTCAAAAATTGCCTTAGTCGCTGACATCGCCCGCTTTCCGCCTCCTTGGCGGTGAGCGCCGAGTGGGAGCCCTGCTCCACCACCTGACACGCTCAAGAACGCCTTCGAAGCTGTGCCACGTGGTGTGCCTCGGTGCTTTCTTTGGAGTTGGCAGCCCCCTTTGTTGCTGGGAAGCCAGAGGAAAACCAACCATTTGGCGCGCAGGTGGAGGGAGGGAGTTCTGTAAGATACACCGGTGGAAGAACCCAATTGCCACGTCAAGTAAAGACGAGACAAATGCTCACCTGGCTGGCAGCAAGAATCAGACAGCGCGTGCTATTGCGCAACTCTTGCTCGGAAGCAGAATCACTTGCCGGTGCTCAGTAGGCAATGACCTTTCGGGTGTTGGGAATGGACCCAGGGATTTTCCCTTAAAGGAAACCACAGGGGATGGTTTATAGGGTTCATTCCCCCATTCCCTGCCTATCGAACCAGCAAGATAAGAACATGTCGAGCCGGTACTGCCGTATAAGGAGTTGCCATTGTTACCTTTCTCCTGTGTCACCGCTCGGTCGATATGCGCGCCTCTCCACTCTTCAGAACGTAGATAACGTCGGAGTTCTGAACCTTCACACAGAGCTCCCTAGATGTTCACTAGCATCACCCCAGAGGAAGCTCAGCCAAAAATCGCCCCCTTTTGGTGATATCAAAACCAACTGAGCAGGACAAAATTCCTGGCAAGGCGGCCGGATGTCCGGCCGTCTGGTGACGATTTGCTTGGGCACGCGAGTGAACGGCTATAGCTATGGAGCCTTGCCGAAATGCAGCGCCATCCCTCACAAAGGCTACGTGAACAAAGTGTGCAAAGCACTTTGTTCAGTGTCTGATTGCAGTGGGATTCGTCGTGTTGCGATAGCGATAGCGGTCATTCCATCAAGCCAAGCAGCTGTGCTCAAGCGGTGGGCAATGCTGACAATCGTCATGCCACCCAACTCGCTGGCCCTCGGAGGTGTCGCGGGTGCACGTGCAGGTGCGAGCTCGTGTGCACGCTTGCGCACATGCGTCCGCGCGTTCGGGTGTGCGGGGGCAGATGGGCGGGCGGGGTGCGGGAGTGCGGGAGTGCGCCGGCGTAGCGGCGCGGGAGCACGGGAGCTGGCGGTCACGGGGTAGAAATCGGAGCCGAGCAGTTTCTATATCATGTGCTTCCCTACCCTCATCTGCACTCTCTCTGTCTGTTTCAAGGGTCGGAAGCACAGAGTGGCAGCACTTGAATTTGGCTGGGTCATACTCAGGGTTGGTAGACTGGTGGCATTGCTTCGCCCAAGTCGTGATGTGATGCTGCCACCCTGTCTGCGTAAAGAAATAACAGAAGGGAAAGTAATTCACAATAAGATTGGGCCCAAAATAAGTCTCACTGGAATTTCTGCTGAATGTTGCCGCTTTACGCGCGCAACGACAAAACGTGACAGCATAAGCTCAGGCACATGGTCGGAAGCGTGCTTGTGGAGTCTTTGCCAAGACTCTTTCCCAGGTCATCGATGGTTTGCTGAATCATCTTCTCAGAGTTGCTGTCCAATGCACTTGTCGCCTCATCCTGGGCCAAAGCAGAGTGGTATTCCTGTGATCTAGCATGAAGCAATGGTTGCACAAGACATCTCATTCAAAGGCATGCTCATGAGGAAGTGCATAGCCATCTGCCGGCCAACAACTCATGCCCAAATCAGGAAAATGGCCATCCAAAAACTATCTTTTTGAGGGAACCCTCTTGGGACAAAGGGAAACCGGCCATTCTGCAGATACCACATTTTGGTATGTCCCCCAAGAATTGGTAGTTCTGCTGTGGGTATGCCCTCAATTTCAATCACCCGTTTGTTGGGCTCAGGGTCAAATACAAACCAGCCGTTCTGTAGGTTTCACCATGAGACGAACTCCCCCAAAAAAACAATTGAAAGCAACACACACACACACACACACACACACCAACAACAAACAAGAAAAAGAAAAGAAAAGAGAGGAAGCAGCAACAAAACACAAACAAACAAACAAACAACCAATCAAACAAAGAAACAAACCTCACCCTCCATTTAGAGACCAACCCGGTGGTTAAAACAAAGGAACGGCCGGACCCCCGCCCGCCCCCCACCATCTAGAGACCAACCCGGCTAAAAAGATCATGGCCGGGATGCCAAGAACAGCACCGAGGGCTTCTTCAGCAGCGCGCGGGCGATGGCGATGCGCTGCTTCTGGCCACCCGAAAATTGGGACCTGCGAGGCGAGCCGTGAAAGGCGAGAGTCACACCCACCACTCGCCGGGCATCTCTTTTCTTGCTGGTTCTCAGGTTGAAAACATAGGGGTGTTCATGGGTCCCGAGATTTCCCCTGCAAAAGTTCAGCCATTTACTGTCCATGGAAGCTGTCACTTTTGAAGGTCCAATTGAAATTGGTCAACCTTCATCTAATCGTACTAACCTTACAATGATTGAGATCATCCTCACCATCAACCCGAATCGGTTTTGTGGCTCAGATGTTGTTGTTTTTTTTTAAAGACAGGGGAACCCCGAACCCGAACCCAAATGGCTCGTAGACATGACCCAATGTTTGCTGATGTCCGAAGGGTTCGCAATGCAACGTCACACTAATATGGGTGGCTCGTCTTTTTTGCGGGTACCCAAGTTGTTGGTGGCTTTCAAGCGAACGCCAAATGGAAAACCGCCATTTTGCGAGGTCCATGAAAAAGCAAACACCAATTTGTCAATCTCAGGATTTGGACCCAATACTGGGATCAACCACCGGCTTCAGTTTTCTCCATACCCTCAAGCCAATCCAGAAGGGTGTGTCTGTGTGTGTGTCAAAATAGGGGACCCCTCAAAACACTACACTCAATCATGCGGACCTCTGATTCCAAGACATCTCTGACAGAAACCAAAAGCATACACGGCACACCTCATGTCGGAGGCTTTTTCTGCAACCTTACCAGTACCCTTTGACCCATTGACGTTTGGCTCTTCACTTGGGGGGATGCCCAGAGACATGGGGCCCTTTCAAAACGTAAGAAAAGCCCAACTGGAGAATTCTACTGGGATAATTCCTAAACTGGCCACGGTTCTGTGAGGCATCCCTTTAAAACCAACCAAAAGCGGGTTGCCCCTCCCCCAAAAAACAACCATCAAAAAGGAGGAAACGTCAAACCCTGTGTTCTTTGTGCTTCTCATTTTCTCTTTTGTGTTGCTGTTCTTTCTGCTGCCTACACCCATTTTGGGGACCCACCGCCGCCTTTTTCTCCTTGCGCCCGGTGCAAAAAAGGAAAGACGACCCGGCACTTCTCAGGGCCCACCCTCCAGATCCCACGTAGGTGTCGAAGTCCTGCGGCAGCGACTTCACAAAGTCCAGCTGGGCGTTCCTCGCCGCCTTCTGGAAATCCTCGGCACCCAAAAAAGCTGAAGAGAACATCGAGTTTAGTGACAACCAAAAGATGGTGTGCAAAAAAGAAGTGGTTTTCATTTTGGTCTGGGCCGAGCATCACGACTAGCTTGGGTGGCAACCAAAAGATGGTGGGGTGTCAAGTGGTGTTCCTTTTGGTTTCCCTGTAAACCAACCCTGCGTCTCTGTTTTGAGGGAACAGAAAACAAGTGGTGTTCCTCTTGGTTTCCCTGTAAAACCAGCGCGCAAAGTTGGTACCCTCCAAAAAAGGAACCACGCCCTTTAGAACCACCAGAGGGGAAGTGTGCTGAAGCAGGACAGCGCATCCGCCTTACAGAGGGAAATTGGCTTGGTTTCAATTGGAACCAAAGGACACCGCTGCGCCATTTCGGCGGTCCCCCTATCTTAAGACACATACCCAAATGGCATAACAAGCGATTCAAATGAGGTCTCAAAGTCGGAGAACCCCGAAGTGCTTCCTTTAAGACCCCCCCCCCCCTCGCCGCAAATCAGCCGGGCTTCATCATCCGATGCATCAACACAGCCCTGCATGATGTTGGCCCGCACACTGGTGGCGAACAGAACAGGCTCCTGCGCTTTGCCCAGACAAAGGCTCGTGTTGTTGAGGAACGCGTTTTGGTGTTGTTTAGAAGGGAAACCAAAGCTTGCTGGTGCTCAGTAGGGAATGGGGTCCCTTTTAAATTTTAGGAAACCACTAAAAATGGTTTATCCCTGAGCACCAGCAAGAAAGGAAAGCCACCATGTTTTCTTGGGGGACCCTCCCCAATTTAGCAAATTGGGCCTGCGCAAGGGCCCTGATGTTCGTTTCCCTCGTATCTCTGCCACTCACTATGTCTTTCGCGAGCGCAAAGAACGTTATGCTGATGAGAGTTGCCTGCCCTGTTCAAGAATTGTTTCCCTCTCCCCACTACGCTCTGTCAGAGCATCCCAAAAACGATGTGTTGGGCACCAGATCGCACTAAGCGCTTCACCGGCGCGAAAACCGAAGGTGTGCGCTCGCTTCGGGTAATCCACTTATCAACAAAATGCTCAGAGACCAAGGCAGTGGAAGGGCCCCATATCATTACATGTCAGTGCGCACCCCTTTTTTCAGGGGTCACTGGATTTCCCCTTCAAAGGCGATTTAATTGCAACTTTTGGGGGTAGGGAAATGGCTCGGAAACCCTGTGGTCTGTGTTTCCAGTCGCCATCTCTCGTCCCGAGACAACTCCCAGGTCTTGGAGGCGTGGCTTTGGATGGGTTAGATGTGCATTCCATGCCGGTACAGTCCTGACCAACGTATCCAATCTGCTTTCTGTAGGACTGGATGTTGATCGTCCTGGAGACAGGTGACGTTGACACTCCCTGCAGTTACCCCACTCCAATCTGCGCTTCACAAGACAACCCCTGTTTCAAGTTTGCTTTAAAGGGAAACCAAGAGAAAACACTGTCATTCCGGCAGGTCCCCTATCAGAAAGCCAAGAACTCGCACGCGCCCCGCTCGCAACCGCGGCCCCCCTTCTCTCCGGAGATCTACTCCATTCACCAGCACTGCGCCCTGCTGGGGGTCGTAGAAGCGTTCCAGGAGCGCCATGATGGTGCTCTTACCGCTGCCCGACTCCCCGACAAAGGCCACTTTCTGGCCCTGCGCCGTGGGTCCGCCCGAAGCAAAACCGAACGAAACCGAACGAAACCGAACGATTCTTTGCAACAAGGGATAGCAGTACGTGGTTGACACCTCTTTAATCAAACAAAATCTGGGAGCCGCCGCTGACGGCTGCAGACTGGGCTACGTTGAAGGCATCGCTTCTCGCGTGCACCCAATGATGCCGCCGCAAGCAAAGCCCGCCCAGCCTTGCGAATGGTCAAGGAGACGCCTCGCAGGGACTCAGACTGCACACTGCAACAACACCGCTTCGAGCCCAGGCAGTCCATCGCCTTTGGTGCAAGGAGAGCTATGCTTAGGCCGCATTGCGGCGCTTCTGCTATGCTTGGGTCATGCCTGCAGATCACAACAGGACGACCTTACCGAATCGCATTTGGTGTGGCAGTCTTTCTAGTGCAGCACCTTGCGAAGTTTCCCTGACCATCTGAGGCCAAAAGACGCGTCCGTCGGCGTCTTGCCGTCTTGGGACGCGCCACATCTTGCGAATCCGGCCTGACAAGACTTGGATGTCTGGCCGGGCGGGATACGAGAAGGCAACATTCTCCAGCTGCAGGGACTCGATGGTCGAAGCAGGCCGACGATCATCGTGGACTCCTTGGCCGAGGGTTTCTCAGGCGACCGGACAAGGCTTTGGCTACGGCCCCTTGGCGCATTGCTAAGACTGCCTCACCAAGCTGTGAATACAGAGACGAATAGCATATGGCTGGAAGCAAGATGATGGCGAACAAACCAAGACATGCTGCATGCGAGCCTTTCTGTCTGTCAACCGGCCATCAGAACATGCAAAAAGGCAGAATGCACACGGGTTGAGGGGAACCCTCCAAAATGGTGGGTTTCCCTTTGGTTTTCCTCGTAAACCAACCCATCAACGGGTACCCCCATATCCTGCGATGCCAAGGCTCTGCGCTGGATTTCGGACTCATGCTTCACCTTGAAAGTATGAGCTCACATAGGTTTGTCTCACTTTGGCTTCCCATTAAACCCATACCAAAAATGGGTACCTTTAAAAAATAAATGTGTGTTTTGCCAAAACAACCACGGACAGGTGTCCAAATGGACAAAAACCTGCACCCCTTAGTAAGTGGCAAATCAGAGGGGGTTTCTCATGTTTCATCCATCCCAACTGGTGCAAATAAAATGTTGCCCATCAGTATGCAAGCCTACATGGGTGTGTCAAAATAAGATATCCCCAGAATGGCGGTCCCCTGATGCCCTGGTGGTTAATTTTCACCCATACCCATTTCTCACATCTCTCATTCTTTCTCTAAGACGTATCCAACCCACTCTCCAGTGCTTTGCAACGCTTTCTAAGGGGAAGACCTATCCAACCGCATGTTTCAAGGTGTTTTCCAGTCCGCATATTTCCCGGGAAACAAAGCCGGTCCAAGAGCTCGGACTGAGGCCACCACGAGGTAGAAGAATCGCGCCAGAGCGGCCTGACAAAAAATCTCGCGTCGCCTCGCTTTTGGTTTGCTGGTGCGTCAGGCAGGGAATGAGACATGGAATGACCCCAAGACAAACCAGCCAACGGCTTTTCCTCTTTGTGGGGACCCATGAGCCACTGGGTTCATTCCATTCCTCATTCCCCACCGATTCCGCAGCGATCGCTTCTGTTTCGGTTGACCCTCCAAGTGTCCGGTAAGCCGTTTTCTCGGTTTCCCGCCCTCCCGTACCTTCCATGTCTCCCGGAGGATTTCCGGATATCCAGACGCAGAGGTGCCTTCTGGAGGGAGGGTACCCTTATTTCGGGAGGCTCCAAATCCACAAAAAAGAGAGACGAGCCTGCCACTTCGCTACTCAGACACGCCAACTTGGCGAGCAAAGAAGGGGCCCAGTGACTTCCCACCAAAGTGCTTCTCATCTGGCTCAAAAATGGAGTCCCCGAAATGGCAGCTTGGTACATGGAAACAAAAAAGGTTATCACCTGCGGTTTGCCCCAGCTGTTTCATTCTGAGCCATCTCAGTGGCAAGCAACCGAGAGGCCACACACTGGTCTGGACACTGTATGCGAAGGGTCTGGGCCCAGAAACATGCGGTTTTGTCATCTTGGAACCAACCAACACACAATCAAAAAAAGCGAACACCCACGCACCCAAGCAAAATAAAGAAAGCAAGCAAACAAGCAAAAAAAGCAAACACCAACAAGCAAAAACGACAAATAAAGTGGTAAAAACAAACAAACACGCACACGCAACAAATAGACAGGCAAAAAAGCAAACACACAAACAAACAAGCAAACAAAGGGGGAAGAAGAAAAAAAACGAGCAAGCAAGAAAGCAAACAAACAAAAAACAAACAAGCGGCCAAACAAGCAAACAAACAAACAAGCAAGCAAGCATACAAACGGGCAAACAAACAAACAAACAAACAAACAAACAAACAAACAAAGAAACAAGCAATCAAGCAAGCAAACAAACAAACAAACAAGCAAGAAAGCCAGCAAACAAGCAAGCAAACAAACAAACAAACAAACAAACAAGCAAACAAACAAACAAGCAAACAAGCGGCCAAACAAACACACAAACCAACAATCAATCAAACAAACAAACAAACAAACAAGAAAGCAAAGAAACAAACAAAAACAACCAACCAAGCAAGCAAGCAAGCAAGCAAAGAAAGAAACAAAGAAAGCAACGAAAGAAAGAAACAAGCCAGCAAACACAACAAACAAACAAGCAAACAAACAATCAAAAGAGCAAGCAAACAAACAAGCAAAGAAACACAGAAAGAAAGAAAGCAAACAAACAAACAAAAAAGCCAGGAGACAAACCAACAAACAAACAAACAAACAAGCAAACAAACAAGCCAACAAACAAACAAATAAACAAGCAAACAAACTATCGTTCAAACAAACAAACAAACAAACAAACGAACAAACAAGCAAACAAACAATCAAACGAGCAAGCAAACAAGCAAAGAAAGACAGAAAGAAAGAAATCAAAGAAAGAAAGAAACAAGCCAGGAAACAAACAAACAAACAAACAATCAAACAATCAAACGAGCAAGCAAACAAGCAAGCAAAGAAAGACAGAAAGAAAGAATGAAAGAAAGAAAGAAACAAGCCAGAAAACAAACAAACAAACAAACAAACAAACAAACAAACAAACCGCAAACAAACAAATAAACAAGCAAGCAAACAAACAGACAAACGAGCAAACAAACAGCCCAACAAGCAAGCAAACAAACCAACAAGCAAGCAAACAAGCAAGCAAGCAAAGCAGCAACCAAGCAAACAAACAATAAAGCCGACAAAGAAACAAAGAAACAAACAAGCAAACTAACAAGCAAACAAACAATAATAATGTGAATCAAAAAAAAGAAGCAAGACAAAAAAGCCAGACAGCAAGCAAGCAAACAAACAAAAAACAAACAAGCGACCAAACAAGCAAACAAACAAACAAACAAGCAAGCAAGCATACAAACGGGCAAACAAACAAACAAAGAAACAAAGAAACACAGAAACAAGCAAGCAAGCAAGCAAACAACCAAACAAACAAGCAAGAAAGCCAGCAAGCAAGCAAGCAAGCAAGCAAACAAACAAACAAGCGGCCAAACAAACGAACAAACCAACAATCATTCAATCAATCAAACAAACAAACAAAGAAACAAAGAAACAAAGAAACAAAGAAACAAAGAAACAAGCAAGCAAGCAAGCAAGCAAACAACCAAACAAACAAGCAAGAAAGCCAGCAAGCAAGCAAGCAAGCAAGCAAGCAAGCAAGCAAACAAACAAACAAGCGGCCAAACAAACAAACAAACCAACAATCATTCAATCAATCAAACAAACAAACAAACAAGAAAGCAAAGAAACAAACAAAAAACAACCAACCAAGCAAGCAAGCAAGCAAACAAAGAAACAAAGAAAGCAAAGAAAGAAAGAAACAAGCCAGCAAGCACAACAAACAAACAATCAAACAAACAAGCAAACAAACAATCAAACGAGCAAGCAAACAAACAAACAAACAAACAAGCAAACAAACAAACAAACAATCAAACAAACAAGCATACAAACGGGCAAACAAACAAACAAACAAACAAAGAAACAAACAAAGAAACAACCGTCAAGCAAGCAAGCAAGCAAGCAAGCAAACAAACAAAGAATCAAGCCAGCTAACAAACAAATAAACTGGCAAACAACGAATCAAACAAACAAACAAGCAACCAAACAAACAAGCAAATAAACAATCAAACAGGCAAGCAAACAAACCAAGCAAACAAACAAACAAGCAAGCAAACAAACAAACAAGCAAGCAAACAAAAAAACACAAAGCAAACAAAGAAAGAAACAAGCCAGTAAGCAAGACACACACACACACACACGCATCATGCGGGCTTCCTGGGTCTTCATTGGGTCAAACTGCACCCTATTCCCTGTTGTCCGGTGGCCAAACCCTTGCAACCAAAACCATGAGCATCATCTTAATCACCAGCTCGCTGTTGTTTCAAGCTTTGGTTTGGAGTGAGTTTAGGGTCTGTTTAGGGTGGGAATAGGGTGGGTTTAGGTTTGGGTGGTTGTTTGGAGTGGCTTGAGTGGCCTAGTGTGGGTTAGGGTGGGTTTAGGTGGGGTTAGTGTTGGGATTAAATTGTGTTTAGGGGGGAGGGTGGGTTTAGGGTGGGTTTAGGGTGGGTGTGGGTGGGTGTGGGTGGGCTTAGGATTCTTTAGTGGGCTCAGGGTTAGCTCGTCTTTTTGGGGCTGGGTTTCGGTTTGTATAGTAGTTGCTCAGGGTTGGCTTGGGGTGGGTTCAGGTTTTTTGTTTAGATGGTTGGTTTAGGGTTGATTCAGCACCTGGAACTCATGAGGGTTTGGTCTAGGATGCGTTTAGGGTGGCAGTATGAGGGTCGGTTTCTGGTTGGGGTTTGGCGGGGTTTAGGGTTGGTTTAGGGTTGGTTTAGGGTTGGTTTAGGGTTGGTTTAGGGTTGGTTTAGGGTTGGTTTAGGGTTGGTTTAGGATTGGTTTAGGGTTGGTTTAGGGTTGGTTTAGGGTTGGTTTAGGGTTGGTTTAGGGTTGGTTTAGGGTTGGTTTAGAGTTGGTTTAGGGTTGGTTTAGGGTTGGTTTAGGGTTGGTTTAGGTTCACTGCCAAAAACAAATTCCGGAAAGTTCCAGAAAGACACATGGGATCCGATCAAAAGGTACGTGACATGGGATGACCATTGCTGAAAAGCACCAAAAGATATGAGTTTCCCACTAAATGGGACAAGCTTCCTCAGGGTCATTTGCGGACGCACGGAATATTGATCAACCCCCACACGAATATATTACACCACATTACATACAATACATACGTTACATACATTACATACATTACATACACTACATACATTGAATACATTACATACATACATACATACATACATACATTACATTACCTTACCTTACATTACCTTACATTACATTACATTACATTACAGTACATTACATTACATTACATTACATTACATTACATTACATTACATTACATTACATTACATTACATTACATTACATTACATACACACATTACATACATTACATTACATTACATTACATTACATTACATTACATTACATTACATTACATTACATTACATTACATACATACATATACATACATACATTACATACATACATACATACATACATACATACATACATACATACATACATACATACATACATACATACATTACATACATACATACATTACATTACATTACATTACATACATACATACATACATACATACATACATACATTACATTACATACATACATACATACATACATACATTACATACATACATACATACATACATTACATACATACATACATACATACATACATACATACATACATACATACATACATTACATTACATTACATACATACATACATACATACATACATACATACATACATACATACATACATTACATACATACATTACATACATACATACATACATACATACATACATACATACATACATACATACATACATACATACATACATACATACATACATACATACATACATACATACATACATACATACATACATACATACATTACATTACATTACATACATTACATACATACATTACATTACATACATTACATTACATACATTACATACATACATACATACATTACATTACATTACATTACATTACATTACATTACATTACATTACATTACATTACATACATTACATACATACATACATACATACATACATACATACATACATACATACATACATACATACATACATTACATACATACATACATACATACATACATACATACATACATACATACATACATACATACATACATACATACATACATACATACATACATACATACATACATACATACATACATACATACATACATACATACATACATACATACATTACATTACATACATACATACATTACATACATACATACATACA